AAATAAATAAATAAATAAATAAATAGTTAAAGGAAATAAGGAAAGCTGCACTGTTATTGGATTGATTCAGTTAAGGAAGCTACTGCCCAGTTGCTGACTGGGCAACTTGGAAAATCTCTCATTCACAGGGTCACCATAAGTTGAAGCTGACTTGCAAATAACTATAAAAAACTGCAAACTTGATCAAAACCATGCTCCTGATTCTACAGGCAGCAGATTTTTTAAAACTAACAATTTTTATAATTTACTGATGGCAGGCACAGTCAAAAGAGATGTTCCTCTCCTCTTTTCTCATAGAGTAAATGTCTCTGGTAAACAACAAGAGCAATCACTACCAAATCCATAGTGGGCAATCCCATTACAAAATACAAACTATGCAAGCTTTCTACAATTTTTAGGTAGTACCAAAAACAAAAACAAAAAAAATAGCAGTTGGAACATCCCTTCATCAAATATCTAAAAATTAGCTCAAATGGGAAGTGCTGAGGTTGTGACATCTGTCTTCTTAATTCAAACAGATCACAGGAGCTGTCTTCATGGACCTGTCAGCAGCTTATGATACTGTCAACCATCGCCTCCTCCTGAGAAAAATGTATAATATCACAAAGGACTACCACCTCACCCGCCTCATAGGAAACCTTCTATAAAACAGGAGCTTTTTTGTTGAGTTCCAGGGCCAGAGAAGTAGATGGCAGAAACAGAAGAACGGCCTGCCTCAGTGGAGCGTGCTTGCTCCATCCATGTTCAACATCTACACAAATGACCAGCCACTGCCAGAAGGGACAGTGAGCTTCATCTATGCTGATGATCATGCAATTACTGCTCAAGCAGAGAGTTTTGAGATGGTAGAACAAAAGCTCCCTGAAGCTCTAGGTGCCCTTACCGCCTATTAGGGGGAAACAGCTGATCCCTAATCCATCTAAAACACAGACATGTGCTTTTCACCTTAAGAACATTTAAGCATCCCGAGCTCTGAGGATGACCTGGGAAGGAATCCCACTGGAGCATTGAAGCACACTCAAATATCTGTGAGTCGCTCTGGACCGTGCCCTGATCTACAAGAAGCACTGCCTGAACATCAAGCAAAAAGTGGGTGCTAGAAACAATATCATACGAAAGCTGACTGGCACAACCTGGGGATCACAACCAGACACAGTGAAGACATCTGCCCTTGCGCTATGCTACTCTGCTGCTGAGTATGCATGCCCAGTGTGGAACACATCTCACCACGCTAAAACAGTGGATGTGGCTCTTAATGAGACATGCCGCATTATCACGGGGTGTCTGCCCCCTACACCATTGGAGAAATTACACTGTTTAGCCGGTATTGCACCACCTGACATCTACCGGGAAGTAGCAGCCAATAGTGAAAGGACCAAGGCAGTGACATCTCCAGCCCACTCCCTGTTTGGGTATCAGCCAGCTCGCCAACAACTTAAATCAAGAAATAGTTTTCTAAGATCTACAGAGACACTCGCTGGAACAGCCCAGCAAGCGAGAGTCCAAAAGTGGCAGGCTCAAACCCAGAACCTCAATCAATGGCTGATAGCAAATGAGAGACTCCCACCTGGGCACACAGAAAACTGGACGACTTGGAAGGCACTGAACAGACTGCGCTCTGGCACGAGATGCAGAGCCAACCTTAAGAAATGGGGCTACAAAGTGTAATCCACGACATGTGAGTGTGGAGAAGAGCAAAGCACTGACTATCTGCTGCAATGCAATCTGAGCCCTGCCACATGCACAATGGAGGACCTCCTTGTGGCAACACCAGAGGCACTCCAAGTAGCCAGCTACTGCACATTTAATCAACTACCAAGATTGCAAACTTTGTGTTTTGTCTGTTTGTTTGTTTTGTTAAAAATGTAATACAACTGTCTGGTTGCTCCTGACACGATAAATAAAATATGAACTCAAACACAAACGAACAATAATTCTTGATATCTGAATTGTACCTTAAGACAGCACTAAAGTACTACAATTAGAGATTCATTCATTAAAATTCCCATGTTGGATTGATGAAGAGACAAAGGCTAAGGTAATACTGGAAAATTACCAGTCAAAGCAGAGAGCTCAGAAAAGGGGAAAGTTCAAAAGGGAAATGCCTAGTAATAAGCAAGCACGTGAGGGGGAGACACAGGAGGAGTAACCTGCTGCTGAGAAAGGCAGGCGTAGGGCTACTGATAAGAGCTGGTGCCAGAAGGGTACAAAAGAAAAAGATAGAGATGAAGCTCAAATCAAATAAAATAGCTTGAAAATACCCGTGCCCATGCTCAAAATGTTGACCATAATAATGAGCTGTCTGGCACTTTCTTCTGTTCACCCAGCAGGATGATTTGATCAAATACACCCGTTGAATGATCTCCTTGCCTCCAGTGTTTGACTGGATAAAGATTCTCTGCAGATTTTTGGTAATAGAGGGACATAGCAACACACCCCAACATTGAAAAATGTATACCTGTGTGGACATATGGAACTGGAAGAAAGTCTAACTGAATTCAATATGTTCTACTTTGCATAGGCATGCAAAAATGGCATGGTCAGTTCTCATGGTACCACCTTAATTTTTAAAAAATATTCCTCTTGCATGCAAGAATTTAGGAATATTTTCAGCAAAAATTACAATCTTACACTATAAATTACAATCAAATGAATAAAGTAACTAAGCTATTTAAGGACTGAGTAAGGACCATGAGCATTTCCCAATCTCCACTTACTGAGAAGCAATAAATGCAATCAATGGGAAAGGATTTGTTCTTCTGTCAATCAGAAAACAGCTGGCTGATGGTGCCACCACCTTCTTGCATGAGTAATCTCCAACATTGTGACAGGGGTCCTTATTCTACTTACCACACCAAAAATCATTCATGGGAAAAGGTGGGATCATTAATCAGCTGCTTCCTGATCGACAAAAGATTGCAAAAAGATTGAGGTGTTGGGGTGCATTCACTGCATTGCACTGTAAGCATTTACATGTACGCAAATCCTCAGAGGATTGTGACCAATATGTTTTCTAAAATAAATAAATACACTGTGTGGGATGACTATGAATACATTGAATTGTACTATTGCAAGTCACCTTAACAATAATCTACCCTAACTCCTTGCCAGTAAAAAAAATCCATAGTAAGGAAATCCCTGTTAGAGGGCTATCCAGGGTCAACTTAAACATTTCCAACAAAGAAGACTCAAGATTTCCCAAGGCCATTTGTTTCACTGTTTAACTGATCGTCCTATTATACATTTGTTCTGAATATTAATTGAAGTTTTCTTTCTTGTGATTTTAATTCATTGGTTTGGTGCTGCCACCAGAGCAACAGAAAAAAAGGTATGTTTCGTGGTTTACATGACAGCACTTGAAATATTGGATGACAGCTGTCTTATCACCTTTCAATCTTTTCCTCCAGGCTAAACATACCCAACTCCATTAACTATTTCTCATTGGACATGGTTTCGAGGCCTTTCGTCATCTTTGGCATCCTCCTACAGGCATATTTTAGTTGTTAATATTTTCTGTAAACTACGTGCCATGTACTGCAGAAAGCAGTACTTCTGTTTCCCTTAATCTGGATGCTTCTGTTGATGCATCCAAGAAGTAAATGATACTTTGACTTAAGAGTTTAATTTGTTCAATGACTGAAGTATTAATTCAAAATGTTCTTACTTCAAAATGAATTTTTCCATTGAAAATCCATTCCAGCCCACCAACACCCCTGCCCCACCCACCCATTTTTGTTAGGTGTTTTTAAATAAGAAAATTAACTTTATAAATAACAAATAATGTACAAATGCACATTCACATGGAACAATAAAAAAGATCAACTTTAAAATGGCAGAAGCACAAAGTTGTGGCAAGGAAACACAACGTAAACTGACAGAAGCATCGTTTTCTTCATCCTGGACTCATTCCAGCTTCCCTTCTTCTCCTGCTTTCTCTCCCTCTCTCTCTTCATGAAGCCAAACATACCAGGAATAAAAAACCACATAAAATCAACTAACTCAAAGGCCCACAAAGTGGACAAGAGTATGAGGACCGGAGGCACAAGGCCCTTGAAGCCCTAAAGCAGTGTTTCTCAACCTGTGGGTCGGGACCCTAACCACTGGAGAAATTACACTGTTTAGCTGATATTGCACCACCTGACAGACTGCCCTCTGGCACCACGAGATGCAGAGCCAATCTTAAGAAATGGGGCTACAAAGTAGAATCCACGACATGCGAGTG